CTTGTGCGAAGTCTGTTTCTAACCAAATGAGTTGTAACTTTGGGAGGCTTATCAGGACCCGATTTGAAACCATTTAAGCACTGTGGAGCGAAAAAGTCAATTTTGCATCAGTCTAATGGCCACCGACAACAACAAACTACGATCGACAATTGAACAAGCCCGGATACTGAAGATACCCTATTAGAAATGATTATATACTTTGAATAAAAATGGAAATGCTATAGCATACTCTATTATTTTCATGATCAATAGATACCGGCTGGTTCGTGAGACGACCCAGAAGTTAACTGTAGTAGTTTAATTTTGTTTTACTCCCTCCGTACCAGAACGGTGGATATAACAGTTTGGCGACGAACGAAAAACTTATGACGCGAGTTAAGTATTAAATTATGATAGGGTCAACTACCCCATTCCCGGCCTATTAAGCACAACTATCCTAAGAGGAAGAAGACACAATACGGAAGCGAAAACGAACCACTTTTCTGTCAAACGCGAACCAGCTCGCGGTTGGCTGATTTGAAGTGCGTAAGATAGAGATAGAGATAGAGATAGAGATAGAGATAGAGATAGAGATAGAGATAGAGATAGAGATAGAGATAGAGATAGAGATAGAGATAGAGATAGAGATAGAGATAGAGATAGAGATAGAGATAGAGATAGAGATAGAGATAGAGATAGAGATAGAGATAGAGATAGAGATAGAGATAGAGATAGAGATAGAGATAGAGATAGAGATAGAGATAGAGATAGAGATAGAGATAGAGATAGAGATAGAGATAGAGATAGAGATAGAGATAAAGATAGAGATAGAGATAGAGATAGAGATAGAGATAGAGATAGAGATAGAGATAGAGATAGAGATAGAGATAGAGATAGAGATAGAGATAGAGATAGAGATAGAGATAGAGATAGAGATAGAGATAGAGATAGAGATAGAGATAGAGATAGAGATAGAGATAGAGATAGAGATAGAGATAGAGATAGAGATAGAGATAGAGATAGAGATAGAGATAGAGATAGAGATAGAGATAGAGATAGAGATAGAGATAGAGATAGAGATAGAGATAGAGATAGAGATAGAGATAGAGATAGAGATAGAGATAGAGATAGAGATAGAGATAGAGATAGAGATAGAGATAGAGATAGAGATAGAGATAGAGATAGAGATAGAGATAGAGATAGAGATAGAGATAGAGATAGAGATAGAGATAGAGATAGAGATAGAGATAGAGATAGAGATAGAGATAGAGATAGAGATAGAGATAGAGATAGAGATAGAGATAGAGATAGAGATAGAGATAGAGATAGAGATAGAGATAGAGATAGAGATAGAGATAGAGATAGAGATAGAGATAGAGATAGAGATAGAGATAGAGATAGAGATAGAGATAGAGATAGAGATAGAGATAGAGATAGAGATAGAGATAGAGATAGAGATAGAGATAGAGATAGAGATAGAGATAGAGATAGAGATAGAGATAGAGATAGAGATAGAGGAGATAGAAATAGAGATAGAGATAGAGATAGAGATAGAGATAGAGATAGAGATAAAGATAAAGATAAAGATAAAGATAAAGATAAAGATAAAGATAAAGATAAAGATAGAGATAGAGATATATATATCGATCTGTCAAAATAAAATTTTCGTGATACCGACACTGAGCGTTCATAAGGACCAATGTCGAAAACAATGGCGTCTTTTGTATGTCATTTTGTATGTCAAAATCAATCCATGTAAGCCTCCCATTTTATCGGATAGGAGGACTCTTTCTCTACCCAATCATGGTGGTTTACTTGAGTGAGTTTTCATTTTCGATAAATTCACGCAAAAAGTAATGGTTTACGTTTGCGGCATTGGGCATTACGAAAGAAAAGCTGAAGTATGGTCAACAATCAATACGAAGCTAACGATTTTAAATTGCTATTGGTCCCAAGCAAACGATTAACGTACCCTATTCTAGTTGAAATTCTATTACTACACTATGTTTGATTTGATTCGCTATGAAAGTTTGACAGCTAACATCAGGGGTGTGTGGATTCATGCAGAACATGCAGGGGTGAGTGAAATAGCTTGGGACTGCTTGGGACTGTTGTTCTGGTACTGAGTGAGCCAAAAATAATAATGATTTTCTTCGGGACCCAGTGGTCTTAGAGTTACCTCTATGGTATGGTTGTATGGTCAATAAGCATTGACGTTGACGGCGACCCTGCAACTCTTTACTCCTGGTTAAATTCCATAAGCATCTAACAATCTGTGCATGGTATCTTGCGGACTTTGTCACCATGGTACCAGCCAGCCGCCGTCTTTTCACGCAAAGATTGACAGAATCTTATGGGCTTTTCATAGGAGTGAAAGGGTAAGGAAATGTTCACCATGTTTCACGCACAGACTGATGATTGCTTATGAGATTTTATCATAGGAGTATGGAGTTACAGAGTGACCGGAAAGGCGAATTGCCAATAGTGAAGATAATGCACAATGAGATGTAAACAATTAAGGCCCACACGGAGAAAAAATACTACCCAAAATTTGAGTTCTTTTTACTTAATATTGACTTCAGCCTCTCACTTGAACTCGTTATTGTTGTCAAAAAAGGAAGTTCAGCCCAATAAGTTACTGATCGCGCACGGCAGGACCCGATTTTTACGTTGTGTGATAAAAGGAAATAGACGACCGATTATTTTGGCCGTACTGCAATGGCAGAGGCATACGTACTATTGACTTTTTATTTGTTATCGTCTATCATACAATACAATACTACACAGTACAGAACAAGACTATAGACACTGTATATACAAGCAACGTCATCTGTGTGTGGATGGATACATCTTTAGTGTGTAGGGTAGTTGCACATATGTTCGACGTGTGCCCAAACAGTTGCTTTTGAGTAAATTGCATATTCTCAAATTTGCGTGAATTAAACTTAATTTTGGGTAGAATATACTTAAGAGTAGGTAATTTTTTTTGTGCTGGTGTTAAATGGAAACTACTATATGCGATTTACTCAAATTTGGGTTATTGGGCAGAACGCCGGAATTGAGAGAAAAGTACTTAATTTTGGGTTGTTTTTCATCTCCGTGCATATAATTTGTCATCTCTTTTGTTCCTCCACTGTTTTAATGCTTGACGAAGTTTGACGTGTGGGCATTCTTTTTTCGACTAGCTTGACAGGGGGCTTTTCAAAGGATTTTTTAACTAGTACATTTTCAAGACAGTCAGAAGCCAATCAAGAGCGTTGTTATCCAGTATTGCCTATTTACAGATGTAATATTTCTTCGTCTCTTCGATCTAATTGCATTGGATTAATTACGGAAATTACGTTAATTGAATGGAATTTGATGCAAATAGCTCGACGATTTGATGATTACGTTGAAGCTACCATTTTGTCTGCGATATGTTGAAATATTGGTAACTGTGCTTTTAGTGCGTCAACTTCTGATTACATCACTAAATATCCTGTTGATGCATATCAACGTTTACATTAAAAAAGGCATTTTTTTTTTCTAAAAAAAAACTATGAACAACTTCTAATAGAACCTAACTATTATTTTCGTTTGTAAATAGTGCTTAACTTTGATACACCTAGCTATGAGTCCCACCCTAGGACCTTAGCCATAGCAGTCGAAAAAAAGTTTGTTGCCCTTTGCCGTTTTGATCAAAGTAATGATACAAAGTAATTAACCACTTCATTCGAGCAGTTAAAATTACGTTTACTACCACTTGAACTTCGTAATAGAAGAATATTCTGAGATTTTTTCATCTAGAACCACGAGAAAAGTAGCCAACATTTATGCGTTTCATAAAAAAAATAGAAATTAGTTGGTCTAGTTTTCTGAAATCGCTGGTAGAAAGTCACGCCAAAACTGCTTGACAAAGTGATCAATTGGAGTAGTTCTTTGTGTTGAGATTTGAGAAGAAACTTTCAATTGACGGCGATTGAGAAACAAAGGGAGTGTTGAAATCTTGGGTATTGCAGGTATCGATAAGCGCTCGATTTCATTTATCGCCCTGCTTGCAAAATTCTTGCGAATGGAACGATGCAAGGTCAGCTCAAAACACTGCATATTTTTCAAAAGGTACTTCTGTATAAACTTTGACAACTTGTTGCAAAATTTTGCTGCTTCTCTCTAGACTTCAAACTGCAGGCACATAACTCCAAATTTACGCGGTCGTATTTCACCTCCTACGAAACCTAAAGTCATCAATGTTTGATGCAATTGGTTCCATGAAATTAGTAAATGTCCAAAGAAGAAAATGTTACATTTTTCTTCTAAGTTTACCGCAGTTTTACTGTATGAAGCAAGGTGATGAATTTTTTAAAGCTGGCTATATAATTTTAAATGAATGATACAAATGCTTAAAGGAATAGTAAGACATGAATTCAGAATCAGGATACGTTAGAATTATTTTAAAAGAATTGACTACCCCCTTGATCCCCCTTCTCATTTAACAGCTGGTATAATCAATTTGACAGCTCAATGTCCTTCTATACCACTTTAAATCATTGAAATGGGGTCGATTTTTGAAGATCGAGTTCCACATATGTTATGTGCTTACACTGTAAAAAATTGACCGTCAGCGTTGGAAATCGTAGACCGGTGGCGTGACGATTTATGAAACATCGGCGCGCTGATATAATTGTGTCGACGGCGGTCCATCCCTGCAAACAATTATGCAAAGTTATAATTGTGTCGACGGCGGTCCATCCCTGCAAACAATTATGCAAAGTTTCATGCAAATTGGGGTATCATCCAAACCATTTGTGGAAAAGTTTGACAATTTGGGCGTTTATGGTATTAGTTTATTAGGGTAGGCTTTCGATGTAATTTTATGAGTTCAAAAGAGTTCAAATTTAAGGATATGATGCGGAATCTTTAAGGAATTTCAATAATAAAACAGTATTATGGATACGATACATCAATCCTGTGGTTTCGAAATGAAGGGTTGATTTGGATATTTTAATATTTTATTTAATCACTTTGTAGGCTCCTTCACTTACCGAAAAACACATGGAACACATACAGCAGCTTCTTCTTGCGGAATTGCGAGATAGCAGCCATCTTTGTAGTTTTTGTTGCGTTAAAAACCGGTTTTATCTATTAAGTGAAAAAAGGAAGATCCAGGTGGTTGATGTAATCTGAAAGTATGAACAAGAAAAGACAATTTTATTTAAATAATTTTAACAACTGTGCAAAGTCATCAAATCTAAAAACGAAACGAATATTTCCCGATAATAATCCCTCTCGGATAACGATTCTGCAGAATTTATTTATTTAGCCGTTCGTCTTCCAACGACAAACAAGTTATCATATTTTGTTTTCATCCATGTCATTCTCGTATTCAATGGAGAGGCACAGAATGAGTAACGAAATTACCGAACGAGCAAGCAAAAAGCTAGTGGCTGAAAGGCCCTCGGATGCAAAGCCAAGTTTACATAGAAATTTTCTATATTTTCAATTCCAGTTTCGGGAACCAGAAACGAATCGCAAAATTGCATACGAAAACTTGACTGCCGTTTCGTTCTACTTTGAAATATCATTTATTTATATTTAATACAATTCAATACGGTTCCATTCGGGTGCGTTTCCTTCGTACAGAGTCACTTTTTTTTTCTGTTCCCAGTGAGGAGGATGAAAAGCAGTCCGACGACATTATTCAAATTTTCAATCCACCGAATTTATTCAGCCACCAACGGAGTTGCCAATGGATTGTATTCCGACTCTCGTCAAGAGGAAAGATGGGAAAGTGAAAAAGAATGACAAAAAAAACCCTGTGCCCCAATCCGACTTCCGGTTCAGGAAATGGGATAATCGACCAAAATGGAGATTTCTATTCTGTTATTGTTCTATTATGCGTTAGGTTGGCCTCTTCGGTAGCTTTGTCGAGATTGGTTTGGGTTTGACTGCTGGAAAGGAATGAAATTGATTTGACAAATAGTTTCCACAGGTGGTTTCGCAGGATCGGAAAACTTCGATGTTCTGTTCTTTAATCCTTTTTGATGAGATTTGGTATGAGCATGTATAATTTTGCATTATATGGTCGTTATAAACCATTCGTTATATTATGTAATGTTATGGTATTTTGCGGAAATTTTTTTCACTTGCAGCTAAAACATTCCAATCCTTTCGAGGTATCTGACGTTCATATTTGAGTCTGAAGACGCTCCAAGAAACATCTGGAATCGATCTTTAAGAAAAACAAATAAAGTTTTATGATTTACATATAAGGCAGTTAAAGTAGCTTTAGCTCCTCAAAGCCACTTGTCGAATCGTTGTTGAACTGATTTGAGACTCAACATGCTTGGCTGCTTGTGAAAAAAATTAAAGCATGATAGGTTTGGTCGTCGAAAATCTAGATATTTTCCATACACCTGTCGAACGAATTCCATTGATTATCAGTGTGCTGGTTCCCATTTCACTACCATCTTATTTTAACAAATCAAACTCTTCTGCTGAAATGGAGAACAATTACGAAAAATGCAATTTGTCTCTCGGTATGGGCGGTTCCATTGAATATGGTTTCAATTGCACAATTATATTCCACCAGCGTGCTCTTCAGCCAACAAACACGAATTGTTACGTCTTACGGAAAAGATTTCTTTGAATGTGTGATAACTGTTTTTTTAGAGTAGGATTACGTTTTTCAGCAACATATTGAAGGTGCAATTTCAAAAAACCAAAATCGGCCGCGTTACGAAAAGTGGTCAGGTTTTGACCACTTATAACTCTGTCCATATTGGATGGACTTTAATTCTAAACAAGCCAATCGATTGAAAATATTTCTACAAATCTGCTAAAATGAACACTTTATCAATTTTCAATACGTCACTATTGAAAATTATTCAAATATCCAACTGTTGCAATGGTGATCAAACTGATCACCGATTGCCTGCAAAAAGCGCTTTCCCTAACAGAGATTTCAAAATCCAGTCTCGCCGCACTATGCTTATTCAATCACCGTGTCCGTGTGTGGTGGTGTCCGGTCGGTTGTCATCACCACCAACAGCAGCAGTGCTTTCGAAAGTCTGTTTTGTATCACCCACAAGTTCAGAAAAAAGAGATTTTGTAAGCACGAAAACTTCACCAAAAATATCAAACGTCGTGAAAATAGAACTCAACAATAATTCGGTTACGCCGTCTGAAGTTAGACTTATGGTGGCATCTAAAAGCAAAGACTGTACTTGCTCCTGTTCCCGAAGGGAAGTGTAAAACTGATAGAATTAAGGAAGGTTCGCTCGCTCTTCAGTGTTATCGTCCAGTAATGGTTCAAACCAGGAAGAAATCCGATGCAGTACAGTGCGTTAGATGCCAACATATGGCCACGATAGCGGCGCCGGTTTTGTAGTGGTAATCGTGATTACCTCTCACCCCAGCAGGCCTGGGTTCAATCCCATTCGGCGCCGCCGGGATGTTCTGAGGCATAACATCTCTGATCACGTCTTCCTTCGGAAGGGAAGTAAAGCCGTTGGTCCCCGCCGGTTAATGAGTTGATGGGTCGATAGGTAGGGTCCAGGTGTGGGAGCTGCCTCCCTGGCGTCGGTAGCATTGGTGATCAGCACGGAAAACAAGATCGACGGAAAACAAGTCAAATAAAAAAAAATATGGCCACGGTATCCGAAACTGTAATTTGCAAGCGAAATGCGTTAAGTGTGGTGAACTGCATCTGACGGAGAAATGCCAGCTTCCGAGCAAACGTCAGTAATCTAAACCATCTACGCCGCCTACACCTAACAAAACATCAACAACAACACTTGATTATTTGTCGTATGCAGATACAACCAAAAACGGTGATCTATTCTCCGTAGAGGAATTCATGAGCTTAGCCCGTGAAGTGCCAGTCCAAGGCTATGCAATTTCTCGTTTTGTCCGAACATACCATCAAATACATCTACCATGGAAAATAGAGCGTCCATTAAGATAACGAATTGATTCTCTCAATTACCAAAATTATAAAATAGTTCGTGCAGACAGACGAAGCTTGGAGGCAGATCGCGGTGGGGGTGTATCTATTCTCATTAAAAAAGGAATTTTTGCTCCGAATCCGACGTGTGAACAAAGGTGATGGAAGCTGTAAGCGTGAAGTTATATGGCGGTGTTGTTCCACTTAACATAACTGCGGTTTACTATCCTGGATCTAGTAAAAGAGTAGACCATAGCCGCTTCAGAAGTGACGTCCGTAAACTAACAGACGTTATAGTATAGTAGCTGAGTGTGCCCGGCCTTGCTCGGGATTCAATATTAGCTTGAGTTTATGCGCACCCCCTCTTCTTATCTAAGGGGTTACCCCCTATGACCTTTCCATGCCAAATTTGGTTCAATTTGCTTGATTAGTTCTCGAGTTCAAGCATGGGAAAAATCATTCACACACGCGAACAGCACCGAATCAAAATAGCCATCCTCACCTACAAACAGATTGCCGAACGAGCGTAAATTCTTGCAACCAAGTGACTCTGTAGGTCAACTCAGAACTGACAGCAGTAGAAGGAACGAAGGATCAACTGATAGGCAGCCGAACAATTTTCTCTACCGAGGGAGAACCAGATTTAATGCATAAACTCCAAATGCTAACGATTTAAATAGCTGAGCCAAGATATGCAGAAATTTCTGTTTCATTGGTATGGGAGCCCCTCCTTACATAGGGGGTCTGGAACCATCATAAGAACCTTTCCCTACCCCAAATTTCCCCTGCATACAAATTTCCACGCCGATCGGTTAAGTAGTTTCCGAGTCTATACGGGTCAAACAGAAAAACAGACAGACAGACAGAAAATCATTTTTATATAGGGGAAATGGATGTAATGTCTAAACCCAAGTAGCATTTCTTGTTTTATTGCACTCTATTAGTGGTTATTGAGATCAATTTCATAAAACCTCCAATAAAAATAATAGCTCCAGCACAACCTTTTGATAACCGCTATAAGATCGTCATACAGCTTAGTGGACCACTCTTGATAAGGTTTATAAAGCATGTTTGAGAATAACAATAAAGCTGTCTTAAAACCTTTTGTCAGGAAGCCTCATACTCTACAAAAGGTTCTCATAGCCTCTATAAGAGTAATATTGTATCCAAGCAGTTTTATTACGCTTTGGTGAAAATCAGTTATAAAGCCAATTTAATTTTTATTGGCTTCAAAGCAACCGCCATAAATTAGCTTGTTGTTGTTCTGTTCTGCTGAAACTTTTTTTTTCCAAATGGAAATCTTTAGCGGTAAAAATAGGTTTGAGTGTTGGTGTCAAGATCACCATGCAATCAATTTTGTTTCATGGCGACATTAGTGAAAATCTTAAAGAAAATATATTACTTTTTAGAAGTTCCAAAACATATGCGCTTGAAATGTTATCGTGTATATTGAGATAATATGAGCCTTAAATAAATGCTCCTCCAAAATAATTCAAGTTAACAAAAAAGATTGTTTCAGAAATCAAATGAATTTGATGGAATCAAATTAATTTTACAGAAAATAGATCTCAATACATAAATTCATACCAATGCACACTGAAAATCATTTCGGATCTCTTATTTAGCCATTATTTTGTTGAAATTTCTTGGATTTTATTCCAAGGCTAATGGCATTTTCATAATGACAATATGGCGACAGAGGACAGCAGGCAAGAAAAACACCAAGCGCAATTTCTTAAAATGTCTAATGCTAACATTGCACACTGGGTCGAAGCTGTAGGCTGTGAAGTTTTAACGTCTTAAGAAGAGTTGTTTATTTTATCAAGATAAACAATTTTGCCAAAGTCGTCAAGTCTTCAAAACGCCATTTCAATGCATTAGAAAAGTCATAGAAAAAAATAATATTCTATTAAAATGAAGAAATCTACAAAACACCAAAATATACCTCTCTCAAATTTTGATATTTTGTTTATCGAGTATTGCTTAATTTTTGCTGAAATGTCAGGTTGCGATTTTTTGCGCTTTAGGAGATATTAATGGTCAAAAATGGTGTTTATTTTCTCGTGTTTTCAACAATATCTTTAAAATTTGAAGCTTAATCCAATATGTTTCTTCACAAAAGCTATTTATTTAATGTATTTGCATAAGAGAAAAATATGACATTATAAAGCTGTAAGCAAAAAAACCGAAACAGAAAAAACCATATT